AGGATCTGTTTTTTATCCGTTGTACCCCATTAGGTCTGATGGTTTGTTCGGGCCAGCTGGTATGTTAACTTCCTTATCAGCCCAGCTTTGGATTATTTTAAGTTAACTATTAAGGACTTGTATCCTATTTGCCTTGCTTCTCTCTCTTCTGGCTTCAATAGGGCCTAAAGTTTCTCTCTCTCTCTCTCTCTTTCTCCCCTAGACATATGCCCATACACTGTTGGAGATAAAACCCAGAACCTAGCACATTCTAGGCCAGCCCTTTACGGTGCCATTGAACTACACCTCCAGCCTGAGAATGTCTTTGTATGGGGACTGCACCAAGTGCATCATCTTGAAATGTGAGCCAGTAGCAATGGATGGGTGGCGGTGTTTTCTCCGCTCAGTTATTTTCCTGCTAAAAACACAAGCATTCAGCAAGGTGTCATGCCACACATCTATAATCTCAGTACTCTGAGCAGCTGAGGCAGGAGCCTTGCAAATTTGAGCCCAGACTGGCAATTTTTGACCTATTGAGAACCTGTCTCAAAATATAAAATAAAGGACTGGGGATATAGCGCTGTGTGAGGACCCTGGATTCAATCCCAGTACTATAAAACAAAAGAAAACAAACTTCAAAAGACAGCCATTCTTCCCTTGTAGTACTGGGTATTGAAATCTGGAATTGTTTTTCTCCACCTCCAGCCTTTATGCTTGTGTTTTTTTTGTTTGTTTGCTTGTTTGTTTGTTTTTGTAATAATGGGGACTGAATGCAGGGCCTTTGCCTCTTTAAATTTTATGTTTGTTGGTGCTGGGATAGAATTTATGGCCTCACAGGTTTGGCAAGTGTTCTGCCTCTGTGTTAAACCCTCAGATACCCTGCACCAGCTTTTGAGGCAATGTCTCAGTATTACAGACAGCTAAGTTAGAGGGAAATTAATAGGAGCCAAAGGGACTGGCTCCCTTGAAGGCGTCAGTGTAGAGGATGGAAAACATAGAGTAGGAGGTGAATGTAAAGAGACCCAGCCTCAAGGTAGAGAGAGAGATAATAGGTGGGGCTGCAAGCCTTGCTTGCCAGAGAGAAACAGCAGCTTGAGCTTGTCCTGTGAATAGCGCCACCTGGTGCTGTGATTCCAGACAGGAAACATGCACAGGGGGGTGACCAGGGAATCTGGGACCCAGGTCGCATCCTCTCCAGAAATGCCTGTGTGTTTTCTATGAAAGTGCCTGCCTGGCAAGCTCAGGGTCCTGAGTTTGATTCCTGGTTAAAAAAAAAAAAAGCTACCAATATGCTGAAGTTAATGTTCCTGCTTAGCACACCACTCTGGGACTCGTATCCTTCCTGATCCATACTAGCTAAGTGGTTATACTTGTAATCCTATAATTAGGATGCAATTTTTTTTTTTTTTTGGTATTTGGGTTTTTGGGTTTTTTTGTTTTGTTTTGTTTTTGTGGAACCAGGGATTGAACGCAGGCCCTTGTGCTTGCCAGGCAGTCGCTTAAGCTGCTGAGCTATATCCCCAACCCTTAGACTGTAATTTGACGTGCGTTGTACCCACATTGTGATTTTGCTGTATAAAATACCTTTGACAAAGAGCCTCAGTGGTCACCTGCTCAGGACCTCTCCTGGAAATCCAGGTCCTATTCTTCCTTTCATTTCCAAAAAACTCTCCTAACTTCCTCCTTTGATCTGAGACTTCATTCCTCAATATTGTGAGACCACAACTCGGCATGTCAAACATCTATCAGGTTGGGAATTATTTTTCTCACATTGAAACAAGGTAGGAATAGTTAGACAGGCACAGGTCCTGAATAGCTAACCCGAAATAAAGTAGAAGTCAGGACTCAGATGTGTTAACATACCAGAGGGCCCAGTTAATGAAATAAAGTTTTAAAGTGTAATGGAATACAGGAGGACAAAAAATAAGTCCCTTACCAAGTGGGGAAGATTTTAAAAATATATAAACAAAGCAACTGGCTTTCCAGACATCAGAGGCCTACTCATGACCTGTGGAGGACCACTTGAGCAGGTCTCTGTGAAAGAACAATTGTCTCCTTTTTGACTGAGGCTGACCTTATTTCCTCGTATTGATGTGTCCAGAGCTGGCTAGGACTTTTCTTTATCCTTTCAATTGGCCTTAAGCCATGTATACTGGTCTCACTGAAGTGCTGGTGATAGTTTTTGAAAGTGGCATGCATGTTTCCCGGGTAACTACACCTGCTGCTCTCTAATATGACCTGGGTCAAGACAGGATGAAGAGCCAATGCTCTGTGCTGCCAGCAGGGTTTGAGCCTCGAGATAGAGGCTGATTTCCTGGGGCTTGAGAGATTATATCAGAGCTAAAGCACATGACCCCCAAAACATTAGACACTATCTCAATAGCATAATGCAAATTACTCTCTCTGCTTATGACAGAGGTAAATGTAGGCCACCCACCTAGCTCAGCTCACAGTACCCACCTACTTCCCACAGTTCTCAGTCATTCCTCCTCTAGCCACTCCTCCTCCACTGAATAAAACCTGGGTGAGGACATGGCTCAGACTGTTTGTTCTGGAAAGCCATCTTTGTGGCTGGACTTAGGGCCTGTTGGCGCCTCAATAATTATAAATATGTTCTAGTGTATTTACTTTCGCTGTGGGTTGCACTGGGAGTGGTAGATTGGAATTAACTTGGTGGGATGCCAATAACATATCTTTGGGATTCCAAATATTGACTTCTTGCTTGGGCTGGGGAGATGCCTCAGTAGAATATTCACTTCCCTGGCAAATGCAAGGGACTGAGTTCAATCCCTGATTCCACCAAAAAAATAAAATAAAATCAGAATAAAACAAATATTGACTTCTTGGACTGAGATTAGACCCTGGAGGGGACTCTTACAATGACCAGGAGCATCCTCGCTTTCTGTTATAAAAGCAAGTATAGCAAAAACCTTTTGAAAACCCCATAAAATGGGCTGGGTGATAGCTTGGCAGTTCAAGTGCCTGCCTGGCAAACACAAGGACCTGGGTTCATTCCCCGTGTACCACATGCTGCGACAGCTTCAAGCTGAACTGTTCACAAAACCTGGGCATGGTGGCACACACCTGTAATCCCACTGCTGGGTGGCTAAGACAGGAGGATCACTAGAGTCTGAATTGCATAGTGAGACCCTGTGCCAAATAAATAAATAAATGTTAAAAATAAAAACCAATAAGCTTAACTACCTATGCTATTTGCTTTAACAAAACCCCTTTCCACATAGTGGAGAGCTTTTCCTTTATTTTATTTTATTGTTTTGTCTTTTTGAGAAATGGTCTCACCATGCAGTTCAGGCTGGCCTTGATCTCACTTTGTAGCCAACGCTGATTTTGAACTCACAAGGAACCTCCTGCCTCAGTCTCCTGAGTGCTGGAATTACAGGTGTGGGCCACCACGCCCAGTTTCTGTGTTCTTTCTGTGAAAAAGCATTTGGTCATTTCCCCAAGGCTTGCTGCTTGCTGTTTGGGGGCTTCAGTCTTCATTGCTCTAAAACAAAAATGCCAATCAATGGAGACTCGTTGTATTACTATGAAGTCTAAACTGGCCTAAAAGTTGCAATCTCCAGCCTTGGCCTTCCCAGTACTGTACAGGGATCGCAGGTGTGCACTATCAGACCAGTTTTGTATGTATGTATGAATGTATATATGTATGAATGTATATATGTATGAATGTATGTATGTATGAATGTATGGATGGATGGATGTATTTTTTGAGACAGGATCTCATTGTCCCAAAAAGTGAGAGGTTAGCCTTGACCTTGTGGCAATCCTCCTGCCTCAGGTTCCCAAGTGCTGGGATTATAGGTATACGTAACATGCCCAGCAGTTTTTATGTTTAATAGAACATTTACAGTTACCATGGACAAAATAGAGTATAAGATTGCAGGGTAAAGCTGGGTTTGGTGATGCATGTCTGTGATCTCAAGCTGGAGAATTGCCCTGACTTCAAGGCCAGCCTGAATTGCATAGTGACAACCTGTCTCAACAAACAAATGAACAAACAGGCAACCCGAAAAACCCAACAACAACAAAAAGAACAAACCAAAACCAACAAACCAACCAAACAAAAACCCCAAATGCAAAATAAGATTGGAGGTGCAGCAAGAGTGAAGCAGGGAGCCCAGTGTGCAGGTGGCTGGAATTTCCCAGGGCTGGCAAAATA